GAAAACCTAAATATTGTGGTGTTTGAGAAACTACCACACTGGTAAACCCATTGCTCTTATGAGTATAGTCTACTAGCAATCCAGGATTTATTTATTCCAGGCATTATGAATAATTCCTAACAACAAATCCATCTGAGAATTTTGCAGTTTGCCAGCAAACAAAGGAAGTGTCAGAATTTCTCAAATTAATTTTAATCCATTATTTACCAAAGCTTCTTGTATAATGAGATAGGGAACAATTCTCTGCTGACAGACAGAACTAGAGTAACAATCTAAACAGATATTTTTCATCTTCTGTTTCTACAAAATGGCAAGGACTAGAAACATTCATATTTGTATCTTTCATCACCACTGTGAACCAAAGCCTTATACGTTCATTAATATGCTTAATTAATATGCTTATATGCTACTTAATACATATCACATAATGAAATATTTACTGACACGGGATCCCATCACTGACCATAGCTTTTGTTAATAAAGAAAAAAGTATCTCTTGCAAAACTAAAGATAAATGAAACCAAAACATGTCTAAAATCTTCAAAAGACCTTATCAGAGTCTACTTCTCAGCCAGAGCATTTCCTGCAGCAGTCTCACCCCAAGGCCTGCTCAAAGCCAATCAATCACTGCCCACCCTCCTCCTCATCATTTCCTTTTAAGCAATAGCTGGAAATAGCCCCATCTGCTCTGAAAATCAAAGAGCAGCAGCTGGTGATCAGCCCCCTTTTAGAGCAGCCTGTGAGACTTAAGGATATTGTCCTGAGCAACTCAGTCAAAATTAATTATAACCTAGATGGAATTAATTAGAGGCTATCTTTATTTCATCTCCATTGTTGTGCAGACAATTGTTTGCTGCTCCTCACATGACTTGGTAATTACAGTAAGATGAAACCACTTAAGATGAAATGTCCTGAATGGGTTTTGATTCAGATTTACAACAGTGTGTTTGCAGAGCTGGGGGGAGAAGAGTGCTGTTTGTTAAATACAGAGCAGATCTCCACACACACACAAAAGGTTTGTCAGCTCTTATTATTGCTCAGTTGGGGCAACAAAACAGAAAGGTTTTGGTTAATTAAAAAAAAAATACTAACTAGGAAGAAGTTATCTCTAGCACAGAGAAGCTGTGGTGGAATTCTGTTGTAAAATTCAGACTTTAGATTGAGGAAGCCTTGCCCTCCTATTTGAAGGTGTAAGAAGCTTCCTGAGATCTGTTACATGTTACCAGTAGTTTTATTTTGCACTGTGGGAGGGAGTTTGTATAGGCACTTTAATTCCAAGCCAGATCAAATGGCTCTAATCAGTATTTTCTCAACCTTTTATCAAGGCAGGCAAGTGCCTGCACGTGACACAGATGCTTCCCAGATGGTTTTCAGCTAAAAGGAAAGAGTCTTATCAGGACTGAAAAGAGACAGTGGCAGATTTCTGTTTGGTTAGTAACCACTGCTCTCCATATTAACATCTTTGATTAGATTACAGGAATGAGATTTTCTAGTTTGGTAGTATAAAACCCATTTGAGAACAGCAAAAAATCCCTAAACCTTGCATTTAAGAGAGGAAAACATCAATCTAGTTGTAATCTACTGAAGTAATTTCTCCCTAGCAGTATAACAAAGCTAAATTATTCTAAAATAATAATGTCTGTGCTTGGGGGAGGCTAAATGGAAGCTGACCCTCCCTGTGGACATGAGTGCTTCATGTTTCCAGGGGTAATAAATAACATATCCCTCGGTGGAACCAGCAAATGCAATGCCTGGCACTCCTGGGAATTGGCTAAACTGAGTCTATGGCACAAAAGTGGAGCTGAGTGATTAATTCATGTGGTGCCGGCTACGAGGAAGATCCAGAGGCCCTGGGTCATGGGGACATTATTTTTAGAGTGTGAAGTCCTATGAAATTATCATGACTTTTACATGTATAATACATGAGGAGGCAGGGAGGCTCAGCTTCATTCTGTCTCTTCTTACAAGCAGTGGCTCAGGAGTGAATTTTTGCTTCATCAGTCATGTGACAACCTGAGGAGAAGGAAACAGCAAAGACAAAATGGTTCTTGATAGCAGCAAACTGTTCTAAACGTGCTCAGCTTTCTCATTTCTGAAAAATTCACAGGAGAACGTGTTAAAAATCAACATGAAAACCATCAGGTATTTTTTGGGACAGGTAACAGGCACAGGCATTTCAGTGGGAGCCCTCCCAGGCATTCCAGAGCAATCCAAGACTTTCCTGAGGTAACTCCATTTAAAATGAACACTGTATCAGTCTCTGGTTCTACAGCAATGATTTCACATGGAGGTACAGAGCTATACCCAGCAGTAGGTTTTTGGGTACTAAAATATTGCAGTTATACAGCACACACACAAAATGCTCAGAAAATTTAAAACTGAGAATGTACACAACTCTCTTGTGGTTGTCACAGATATGCAAGGTTAACTAAGTGTAACAATAAATGAAATAAAGATGTATAATTTCCTTAGACCCTAATAATGCTGTAACAATCTGACTTGATTTCCAAACCAATTTTCCTATTTTTTATCCTCTGGAGAAAAATTGCTGTTTACCAAGTTGCTTTACATTACATATTTACATTGCTGTAAAAATATTAAATCTCCTGTGAGCAGAAAAAGATCATCATGGATATTATGTTCAGTGGAGCACAGAAAAACTCAATTCTTCCAAATAAAATGAATTATATGTGTTTATTTAAAAGCTACAATTTCTCATTATGTAATTGGTTTAATGAATAGGAATTTTAGTCTAAATCCAAAATGGCCACAAAAGATTCTTCATAAGCTAGCAAAAAAAGAAAAAAAAAAAGACTTCTTTATGTGTGCAAAATCCTAAATGTTTTACACACCATTGTTCAAAGGATCTTTCTGTGATTTCAGTCTCATTTTAATCTTAACAGCATAAGACACTGTTTACAGTTCCTCCTGCTCTTGAAGAGGGTTTAAAAACCTTGTGTCCCAACCAGCCACACTATAATTTCCCACATTTAATTAGAAAATAGATGAGATCAGTTTATTTGAACTGGTACTTGAAGTAAGCAATTAAGTGCTTCACTTAATAGGAGTGTGTGCTGTAAATCTGGCCTTTCATTACACGTACAGCTCCCCACACAATCAGTTTCTGGTAGCAGACAGAAGCTTGCAGGCACTGCTTTAATAAAAATACACTATTTAGGAATATTGTGATGTATTTCCACTGCCCCTGAGGGACTTACACTAATACAGCCTATTATCTGTCCTTATTACATTGAACTAAGTATGCAATTAATTGGCAATCTGTAGTGGATTATGGAAACATTCCAGATGGATGGGGGTTTATCACAGCATTTTGCTGCAGCAGATACTGTAATTTCCTAAGTTTGGGACACTGACTTTACAAGAATTTATTTCTTTGTCAGATAGGTCTTGTGAGCAAGAATTTCCATTTCCTTTTACAGCAGAGGCATGGGCTGGAGATGCAGCACAAAGCACCAGTGAGATAACACAGTATTGCTTCAGCAGACTGTCTGTGCTCACACACAATGGGATGTGTGGGCTGCACCTCCCTCAAGAAATGAAAATGCAATCAATTGACTTAGTTAATATTTTGCTCTGTGGGAAAAACTCCAGCAGACAGTCTGGAGCTCCATTAATCCGTGACACTGCTTGAGCTGTGGCAGGCTAAGCAGGAGAAAGCCCTTTGTGGTTTGCCAGCCCTCCTCAGCAATTTGGGGGTGAGAGGGGGAGTTGTTCACCTTTCTATCCTTCTCTTCCACTGCCACTGGAGCTGGATAATGCAGGAAAAACCTGGGGTGAGGTATCTGGAGCTGCCACAGATGGCTCCACTGCCACGGGGGCCTGTGGCTGTCGGGAGGAAGAGCTCACCTGGGAGCTGAATCCAGTCAATATCCAGAGGAGAGCAGCAGACCTCAGCAATGCATCACAGAGCAGGCAGAGGTTTGGAACACACCACTCTCCCAGGAAGGGTTCTTTAAGATATCCAAATAAGATGCTATTGTGCACAAACCTCATCAATGTATTATTGACAGAAAGGAAGTGTACAGAGAGTCCCTTTGAAACCAGCAGAACTTGAGCTCCTGTTCTGCTGCAGCAAACAGAGGGACAGGCCATAGGAAAAACCTCTCTCACTGTATCCCACTTCGGGGCAAAAGCACACATTTCCCTCTCTGCAGTGGCAATGAGTATTGCTATCTATTAGACCACCTAGGTCTGTGCAGATAGATAAAAAGTCACCTTCAAACAGCATTCATGTTATGCAGCAGCTCTTACTCCATGTCTCAAGACTTCTGTTTTCTCCCCTCAGCATAAATGCCCAGGAAGCTACTACAATGCATGGATAAGAGTTCTATTCTTGCTCGACTGGGTATCAGTTCCTAAAAGTGAACAGCTCACTGCTTTTCCTATGCACTCAGCAAGTATCACAATTCTTGTGAAGGTTTGTGAATGCATATCTACATAGACCACAGCTCAGCCAAGTAACCCAATCCTCATGTGAACTACATGCCTTGCTGTAGGAATTTTCACTTTAATGTAACTTAAGATAGAAATCTGACTGTAAAATAAAATATCTTTTAATTCTTCCAGCTATACCTAAGCTTCCTGATTCCCCCTCCTCTTTGGCACTTGCCAGCCCCATTTATTTTCAGACTGATAATTGCCCCCTTTACATTTCCATCAACAGACCCCCACACATCCAGCAAATCTCCAGATTGCTTTTGCCATGTGTTAGGATTAATAATTAATGAAGCCAGCTGATTGTTCCAAGTGACCCATTATCATGTCAGGGCACAGATGAACTAGAGAGAAGACAGGATTCATTTCTGAACCTCCAATTTCAATATCAAAGTTCAAAATCAAAACACCACCAGCAACATAAATCTATTTCTCTCAAGAGATCTTTTTTTTTTCAGAGCTGGCCAGAATAGTCCCTCAGCCTGGAAAGCAGATATTCCCATGCTCAGGGCTTTTTAAACATAAACTATTTTTTCTCCAGTATGTGGCATTTCTCAGGGCTTTTCTGACATTTAAGTATCATCCAGGTATTTAATGATAAGAAGAGAAAAAGAATAGGAAAGGGAAATGTACATTAGCATGAAAGATTAAGGGACATGAATATGTATAGCACACACACAAGAATAAAAAGCTGGTATACAATGGGATGCCACAGAGCAGAGTGGGAGGGCTTCTGTTCATTAAGTGTTGATACAGTGGATTTAAATAAAATTGAATAAAATCCAGTTTAAATGCCAGGATTAAAAGCCTTGAAGACCAGGCAGGGAACAGAATGGATTTTTGTCCCTCAGAGGTCAGATCAATGCCTGACCGACAGCAGCTGCAGATGGTCGGCAGCAGAAGCCTGCAAAAAATAAAAAATTAAATGGTTAGATCAGGTCTGCTGATTCTTTTTAATCCCATTCTTTGCTGTTCCTGTAACATAATATTTATCTCTAGTACAAAAAAAACCAAACCTATCACAGGTGTCTTAACAGAGCTGGTATCTTATTAATTTGCATCGTGTTTCAAATCACCTTAGCCTCTACATGCATAATCCTAAAACAGCAGTATTCAATTCTACAAGAGTAATTGATACTTCAGCAAGGAGATTGTAAATTCACCCGCTGAGAAAAGCAAACAAACAAATAAATGACAGCTCATCAATTTATTTGAAGTCACGAGCAAATCTTCACTGGAGATAGCACTGCACAGCTTATTATCAGCCTGCTGTTAATGTAGGGCTCCCTGCTTTGAGATTATTTAAGGATGACTAACTCATGTTACATTTATTTCCTCTAAACTTGCTCTGGGCTATATGAAAAGCAGGAATCAATTAATTATTTGCAGGACCATTCAGACAGCACTACAAACAAAATTTAAGCTTTCAACACAATGCTTTTGTGGAGGCAATATCACATGAAGTTGTACCACAAGAAATGAAAAAACCTAGAAAGGTAAATATTAATTTTCAATGGGTTATAAAACCACTGAAGCATTGTAAATGCGAGAGCAATTTAGATGGAAACATTGATATCTGAAAAATTAAAAGTGCAGATGGAATTGCATAGATTTCATTGTTTTCAGTCATGTCTGCTTTCTTCACCACTCATAATTAATATTCACAGAATGCAAAACCTTTCTTAAGAGCCATCCTACTGCCTCAGGATCAGTATTTTTTCAGCAGATGACTCACATTTTAATCCCTTGCATGTCATGGTGGGGCACAGAAAAGGAGGGTGCTTATATTGTCTCTAGTTGGCTGCACAGCTGAAATGGGGCTGCTGTGACTTCATTGTCCCCAAGGGACTCGGCATGGGCAGCATGTTTTAGTCATGACAGAAGGCAAAACCTGTGCGTGGTTATTTAAGGCAATCACTGAATCACTTTTGTGTTGTGCCTGGTATTGGTTCACTCCTAACTGCTCTTGGCTTTCAGCAATAATCTCACTTTACCCTGAGATGTGTCAGGGACTGCACAGGTGGGGACAGTGGAGTCACAAGTAGCCTCTAATGTAAATTACAGACAGGTTACAGTGGAGTGGGTAAAACATCCTGAATGAAATACTCCTGCCTTCTGTCTTAATGGAGAATACCTGACCTACTCCTGGATTTCTGCTTCCAAGATGGGCTGGAATCTCCAGCACTTGGATTAGACCCTGGGAGCAATCCCTTACTTGTTTAAGGAATAGGTAGATGACTTATCAAGCTGCTGCCAGCTAAAATGAGATTATAATGCCATAATACAATGATACCTTAAACACTGTGGTATTAATGCCTTTTACCCACATAAATTAAGAAAACTCTGCAGGAAGTAAAAGAGAGAAGTTTCATCTGAAAGCTGAGTGGACAGCACATTTGAAGGTCCTTATAGCTCAAAAGGATGCAGGTACATTTTGCTTCTCTGCAGGGAAAAGGAACCAAGACCTCTCCAGGGATTTTCTGAGGAGTTTGCAAAAAAGGCCTTTCTATCATTTTAGAAGAGCAATTACTAAACCACTTCAGCCATGGAGTACCAGCAGCTGTCTATCTTCATTTTTCCTGAAAATATTAAAAGTACAAAATCCACTGGAAAGCTCCTTGCAGAGTAGCTGTGGATTATTTATGGTGCCTTTACTACCCATGGTCTCCAATGCACTGTTCCACATTGAAGGAATATGCCTTAGCCATGAATGATCTGTGAGACAGACAGTCCTAGCAGTTCAGTACTGAAAACAGGATGTCTTGAGGGAAAAAATAGAGCTGGTGAGAGTGTATTTCAAATAATAAAGTGCATTCGGTACTAATTAATCTGTAAAGTGACAATATGAACAGACTGGCTGGATCCTCTTTGTCTGGTTATTTTGCTGTGTGCCAACACAGAGCTATTCAGGGATACCAGAGCAGTTTGTTAAGTACATGACTCGGTGGTATATGACTAAAATTTCCTGGAATTACACATGCACTTGACTTTTCATGTACAAAAAAATCTGACTCAAACCTATGCTAGGTAACAGTGCCATTCTTCTCGTGCATTTCTCACTTGTGTTTCAAAAAGCTGGCTGAAGTTTCTGGCTTCAAGTCTGCAGATTTTCCTCCAAGACAACCATTTTGTTTGCCCATTCCATTGCTACTGGAAGGGGACATCAAGTCTTCCCCACCCGAGATGAAGTAAGGGGAAGAAATAGTCTCAAAAATCAGACCTGTTGTCATGGAAACCAGAACAAGGATTTACGAGGCCAAAATGGATGCATTTATAAATCAGAGACGAGGAAAATCCTACCCTTTTATAAAAACACGTTAAGTGGAAAATGTCTTTATCATGGGAAGTCAGATATTTACTAGCTCAACAAATGCTGCAGTGTAAAGCAGTATGTGAGTAAATATTTTTTTCTGTAATACAACATGATCTCATCAGCACCAGTGGTTCATGCATTTGAGAGAAAGGCAGTAGTAGCCATAGAAACAGCCTGCTCTTCCTGAGTGGCAGAAGGTATCGTGTGACACCCACTTTTCGTGGTGGCCTCACACTCTGCCAGATTTGTGGCTGCTTTTGAGTGTGAGGGGGTTTTTGATGCACTGGAACCAGTTTTATTCTGTGCAGCTCCACAGCTTGGCATTGCTTACGAGAGGAGGTACCTAAGGGAGGGAGATTCTTCCTGCAGGATGGGAATAAAGGGTGGCTCCAGGGGTGCTTGTAGAAACAAAGCTGTTACTTTTCCTCCCTGTGTTATTAGAAAGCATTTTGCTACAGCACTGCAATAAAATCAGGGCCATTACACCATGTACTCTTGCAATATTTGTGTGGAGAGATGTACAAGTGAACAACAAACCTGCCTGAAGCCATAGAGCAAGGCAAGGACAGACCTTGGGCCAAAAAAAAGAGGTTTTTTTCATTTTTCAATCCTAACCATTCACACAAAGCATTTCACCACTTCACCTTCTTTTCCCACCTTGAATCTCCCCCACATCAGCTGCCAGCACAGAGCCCTATCTAAAGGCAGAGCTTGGCTTGGACTGTGATCTCCTGTGACATATTTTCAGTTTAGTGCTGGAAATCGCTGCTTTAAACTGCAACTTGAGCCCTGTCTGGGGACACAGGCTCTGAGTCACCTCTAGCAGCAGGCGATTTACAGGCAGCCCTTCAAAGCTGTCCCAGCTCACTGCTATTATCTTGATCTCACTGGTACCTTCCTCAGTACAAAAACACAGGTTATCCTCTTGCTTGTTTGCACTGCCTAATCAGGCCCAAGCTGTAAAGAGCCAGACTGACCTTTAACAGCTCTTTGTACTGGAGAGAAGAGTTTTAAGACTGCTTGTTGATAATGAAGGTTTGACTCTCTTGTGATAAAGTACAACTTGAAAACAGAAAACACAGAAAGCTGCTGCTCTGCTCTGGAGAGCATCTGTGGGGGACACATCTGCCACACGTGTTTTATGAAGGTACTGGAGTACCCACACATGGAATAAACACTGAGATGGAAGCAGTTTATTGCCTTAACTTCCTCCCACAGGTCATGGCTCCATCAGGCAGTGCAGCTGGATCACACAGAAGCTGCTGGATCACACAAGAAGCTGCTCTAGAACCAGGCTTTTATAGCCCAGAGTTTTGAAAAAAAACCAACCTGGAACTAACTGGAGTAATTTGGCAATGCTGCGATGTACAAGGACATGACTGCATACTATATACTATATATATATATATATATATACACACACATACACCCCTGGGAAAGGCATGAGGCAGGAACAGCTTCCTCTCCCACACTTTGATTTGGTGTCTCACCTTTTCCTGGATACTCTTGGAGCAGAGATCTCAGCACTGAGCAGTCAGCAACAACTGGGCGCTCCCACAACCTGCACTGTGTGTGTTTTGGGCAATAACCATCCCATCGTGGGCTCTGGGTCACTCTGTGAAAGGTAACCAAAGGCTTTGGACTCTGAGAGACACACTCCACACCTGGACAGAAATATGGGAAGCAGTCAAAAAGATGAGTTACGGTGGAAAATAAACTGTGCTGCACAAACAACAAGAACAAAGAAAGAATGAATAAATCAAATCCAGCCCAGGTGGAAAGGAAGAAGCTGCGTGGGAAAAGGAGCTGCACGTAACAAAGCAGGGCAATGCCACTTGTACAAACCCCTGAAACTGCAAGAAATGTACTTGTTTACTCAATGGCTCTTGACATCACAAGCCACAATCACGTTTCCTCACTTATTTTCAAAACTTAAGGGTTTTCCATACAACAGAGGACAAAACACTGGTTTCTTGTTACATGGTGGGTGTCAATATTGCACACTGCCAAGAAACACAGCTGCCCTGCTGAAAAAGCCTTCCCTCACAAATCTGGGATGTTTCAAGGGGTTTTCTCCCACTGTTTGGAGAAAGAGTCTGCATGCATTAAAGAGGTGAACAAGAGTGAAAATGAGTTCAGGAATGTTACCAGAACTTTCCCATCTCATACTCAAACACGTTTTTGTTTGCTACACTCAGTGCTCTAAAATTGTTTGATGTTTTTCACTGTGTTTGCACCTCATTGTTTCTGATGGCGATGGCACTTCCAGGGTTTGGGGTCGGCAGACCAAACAGTCTGACCCCAAGGACACAACCGTGATAACACCCTGTGAGGTGATCCACGCTCACAAACAGAACAAAAAGTCTGGGCCACAGTGTTACCTTGTGTAGTGCTGCCCACATTACAATTGAAATAGATGGAATTAAGCTGTGTTCTGAGGAAATGAGGAAATGAGACCTTCTGTTTCCATCTGCATCCTCTGCTTTCCATCCTGCAGTACTATATATGGAAACAGCTAAAGTTATATATTTTCTACAGAAGACTTCCTCATTGGAGAAAATACCCTCAACAAATTCTAAAACTCCTTCATAGAAAGCAGCCTGTAAATGAAAAAAAAAAAAAAAAAAACAAACACAAAAAAACCCAAAAACCCCACAAACAAACAAACAACAAAATTAAACCAACCAAACAAAAAAAAAAGAAGCAAACCCAAAGACTGTTGATATTCAGAATTCTACCATTTGACTCCTTTACTCAGTTACAGCCTTGCTGTACTTCTCTACAGTTTTCACTAAACACAGATTACAAACCTTTGCAAATAAAACAAAAGAGTTGAGTAATGCAGTAAGTAACCTGGAATTTAATTCAAACTAGGCCTGGGCTAAGCAGAAAATAAACAAAAGGGGCTGTGTAGGGTTTCTCAGCATCAGAAGTTGCATATTTGGTGGAAAAGGTTCTCTTGTTAAGGACTGTTTGCCTTGTTAAATTTGTTTTGGTTTATATTTATGTTATCCCACCTGTAAGTACATTTTCTAAAATACTGCATGTTCTAACCTCTACCCATAACCACAGAATCAGAGAACGGTTTGGAGGTGACCTTAACCACCACCTAGTTCCAACCCAAATAATCAGATTCATCTGTTCACTGCACCCTTTCTCCTTTTATAGAAGAGTTGGTTGCCAGCAGGCAGAGGGGTTTGTAAAGGGAAGTACAAAGACTTGCAAAACCCAAACTTCCTTTGTGACTACCTAAGGACTCAGTTTCGGTGAGAATCAGACTTTCTTTTACCCTTATATGGCAATCCCACAAAAACACGAAAGCAAATCAGGTGTGAAGCTGTGAAGTTACAGCTCCTACAGCAGCCAGTTACAGGCAGAGCTGAACAACACGGATATAAAAGGGCATCAGGGATAGGTTCGGGCTATACCTTTTAAAGTCAAAGGGATTTTGTGCTGAGGTCACCCTACAGATGATCAGTGGGCTGAGCCTACAACTGGTTTCATCAAATACCATTATTGCAGGATTTCACTGTGACTGCAGATGGCTTGTGAAACTTCATGTGTCCATCAAAACAGGAAACACTGAGCCTAGTGGCATTAAAAGAAGTGAAATGACTTCTGTGTTCACTAGACCCTGAAACATGGAAAGGGTCTTTTATAATTTAACTCTTTTAACTCAAGTGTGACCTCTTTTGCAAAGGGCAGAGTTCTGCAACATAATGTAACTGAAATGCTGAGTAATAACTGGGAAGTGAAAAGCATCAGCCGTGTTTCCTTCACGTGACTTACAGCAGCGCTTATCTACACTCCAGCCTGCAAGAGGCTTCAAACTGAATGGCTTATTTTGACCTATAGTCCCAATCTCTCTTTCCCAGGAGGTGAGCATACCCCCAAAACAGCCTGCTGAAAAGTGCCTCCGGTGTGATATCACCATTTTTGGAGTTCTCAGATGCCTGTGGCTGAGAGGGCTGGAGTTCTGCTCATTGCATGTGTGAGTGCAGCTAATTATAAGCTCTGGAGCAGAAATCCTGTCTCTGTCTGCACAGTCTTTGGCACAGCAGGGTCCCTTTCTCAGCTGGCCTTCAGTGAGAACTCAGTGCGAGGTATGAATCATATCAAAGGTGAATCAGAACGATTCTGAGTCACTGACACCAGAGAGTAACAACTTTAGCATATGGATACAAGACTAATGAGCTGCAAAATTTCTCTGATCCAACTCAAGAGAGGAGAAAAAATAATTTTGAAGAAACTAAAAGATAACTGAGGTACAACAGATGTGCTTGATATAAACACACAGCTGCTTAGCTCATCATTTATATTCTATTTTGTTATCATGAAATAATTATTTTAACTGAAGGAGACTTACCTGAACTGAGAGACCTGAACTGAAATGAGGATTACCTGGAACTAAGATCATCTAAATTTTCTGTGGTCTTGGCAAGCTAATAAAACCAAACCTATTCATTTTATTAAAGTCAAAAGTATATAGCCTTTTAAATAAATAGTTTGGGGCTTAGTGGTTTTGATTTTTTCACTCTGCAATTAAACACACGTCTAACACCAGTTCACAAAATTAGCCACAATTGCTTAAAGAACCTTCTTGTGTGTTTTTCCTCTTTTTTATACACCAGTGTATTCTTGAATGTCCTTAAAAGGCATCTTAGTGTATTCTCTCTTTCTGACTGGCAGAAACAAAGCACTCGAGACACTTCACCAGCTCTGCTGAGTAGCTGAAAATACACATGAGGAAGTGACGACTCATTTAAGGAGAGCTGCGAATTGCTGCCCTTTATGCACCAGGTTTCCAGCTTGACTTTTTACACTCTCGGTGCAAAGAACAGGCGTTGAAAAGGCGGTTAGCCTCTGACCTGGAAATTCCCCCGCAGCAGGAGCATAATCTGTGCGATTTAGTGTGAGAGTCTTGGGGCTTTAAGAGCTGGTGACCCTGCAGTTTACAGCCTAATGTCACAGGCAAGTGACAAAACTCCATCCAGGAGCAGCAGGAAGCTCGGGATAGATTGATGGCAGGGCAAACAAACCCACAGCTCACAGTCAGCTCTGTCACAAACGGCCAAGGCTTGAACAAGAGGATAAACTGGAGGTAAGCCAGGCCAGGTACCTTTCAGTAGCTTTTGACTGATTTTGAGCTCAGTAGCTGGAGAAAAAGGGTCTTGAAACCATCATTTCTTTGTGAAGATGATACTGGTCAATCAGAATTAGCTGGCTGATTGTCAGTCTCACTGCAAGGTCAGTAAGAATAGAATCTAAAGTCTTGCATGTGAAGCAATACATCCACAGAAACAATAACCTTTAAAAATAAATCAAAGAAGAAAAGTAAACTTGAATGAAAAAACTTCTTTTTTTTTTTTTTTTTTTTTTTTTTTTTTTTTTTTTTTTTTTTTTTTTTTTTTTTTTTTCATTCTGCATGTTTCTCTTTTCTCCTTGGGCATCAGCTGGAAGTTCATTAACACGGTTGGAAACCAAACACACAGTAGACTTTTCCCAGGACCTGCTCATACAAGCTCAGGGAGCAATTTCCACCAAGAACCGAGTTTTGTCCTCACAGTCATACGTGGAGTTAATAGGAAAGGGATGAACTAATTTATTACAGAGGTTTTACCTCTAACACACAGTGTGTAAACGGAGGAATCCAAACCCGCTTGGAGCGGTGCTGAAGCCCGCAGTGTGGGGAACTTCCTAAACATGCGATGCCATCGTGTGGGCAAAGACATCTCCAGCAGTTTCCAGAGGAATGTCATTGAATCCTGGAATGTTTTGAGCTGTTTTGAGTTAAAATGGTCATCTCGACCCTGCTACAGGCAGGGACACCTTCCACTAGCCCAGGTTATATTCACATCATATGAACATGCCATTAATTCCTTAATTTCTACTTGCTATGTCCTGACCCTGCTGAAGGAGCTGGGTAACTCCTATGCCTCTGGTGGTGATCAGAGAGAATCTGAAACAGCATCCACCCTGGAATTCTGGTCAATCTGTTTCTGAGCTGGCAACAGGAAGATTATTCTATGGGTTTTTATGAAATTTTGCACATGTGAAGGTTATAAAAACCACCCCACAATTAAAAAAAAAAAGTGTGGTTTAACTTTATGAAGATTTTTACTCATTCTTGAAAAAGAGCAAAAGAGTGGGAGCTCTGTCATGGTTAGTGCAGACAGAATGACAGGTTGGGTTGTGTTGGAAAGGACCTTAAAGCTCATCTCATACCAACCCCTGCCATGGGCAAGGACACCTTTCACTAGCTCAGGGTGCTACAAGCGCCATCCAATCTGGTCTTGAAAACTTCCAGGGATGGGACATTAATAACTGCTCTGGGAAACTATTTTTTTCCCCCTAAATTCTCTTCTTTTGTACATTTCTGCTTTCTGTTGGAAACACACTGATCAGACTATAATTAAAAGTTAAATGCCAAAGCTGCTAACCTGTTCCATGGTACCTCGTTGCAGAAACACTCACACTATCAGATTTGTGTGAATTTGCCCATCTCAAAGGAGAAGGAGGCTTCACACTGAGCTCAGGCTGCAAGAAAATCAACCAGTCAGACAAAGCATGGACAAAAATGTGTCACTGCTATGAATATGAAGGCCCCGGTGTGCTGCAGTAACCAAAGCCTGTAGCTGAAAGAACAAGGAGAATAATGCAAATGGGGTGAAAAGTTGCCACCTAAAAAAAAAAAAAAAACAAAAACGTGAGTTGTGGGACCAGAGTTTTGCAACCATTGAGATTATAATTTTTCTCCCAAGTCTTCACATGTCTGACTGAAAGCATGGCCAGTCTTTGTCACCTTGCATTTGTCCCTTAGCCCATATACAGCCTTTTTACCTCTTAGTTCAGACCAGCCTGATTTTGCCAGTCAGGAGACAGAAACTGAACCCATTCATTGAGAAATTATTGTGCTTTCCCTCCACTCCCCACTGCCATTGAAACTGACCAGAGCCTGAATTTCACCCTGAAAGTGACCGGCGTGTGTGTATTTACTACACACAGGCACACCCAGCTTCTCCCTGCCCAAAGGCCGTGGCTGTTTCCAGCACAGATCAGGGACAGCAACACCTTCACAAACCGACCTTTCTGGGACCTTCCCAGGATATTTTTTGGGATGAGCTTCAGCACAGGGCACCTGGCACCTGAGCCCTGACAGGAGCTGCGAAGGGTGGTTGCTGTGTCCTAGCTACAGGTCTGAATTTTTGCTTATTTTGAAACCCTTTTTGGGGCCAGGGAGGCTGAGGGAAAAGGGATGCCTCAGGAAAAAGGGTCTCCTCAGGGAGGAGGGTTCCTGGAAAGCAGGGTCTCCTCAGGGAAAAGGTTTTCCTGGAAAAGCAGGGTCTCCTCAGGGAAAAGGGATGCCTCAGGAACAAAAGGGTCTCCTCAGGGAAAAGGGTTCCTGGAAAAGCAGGGTCTCCTCAGGGAGGACAGTTTCCTAAAGGAGAGTCTCTCCAGGGAAAAGGGTCCCCTCAGGGTGGACAGTCCCTTCAAAATGGAGACTTTTCTCAGGGTGGAGGGTTGCCTCAAAAAAAAGGAGGGAAAACTCCGCTCAAAAATGAGGGTTTCCTCAGGGAAAAGCGTTCCCTTCGAGAGAAGGGTCCCCTCAAGGCTGAGGAGCCCCTGATGGAGGCGGGGTGGCCGCGCTCTCGCTGTGTGCGGAGCCCTCAGGCTGCCTCCCCACCGCCTCCACTGCGGGCTGCGGCACCGCCCGCCTGTCCCCTCCGGATCGCGGGGACAACACCGCCGCTCCTCGCTTTCCCTGCCTTCCTCCACCCCTTCCCTGCCTTCCTCCATCCCTTCCCTGCGTACCTCGCTCCGCCCGCTCCTCCTCGTGGCCGAGGGCCGGCCCCGCGCTCCGCCCCGGCCGTGCGGGCGGAGGTGCCGGATGGCGCCGGCCGGGCCTGTGCCGGTGTCACAGCGCGGGGGCCATCGGGGGCTATCGAGGGCCGGGCTCGGGCCGGTGTCACAGCCCGGGGCCCATCGGCGACTACCGAGGGCCGGGCTCGGGCCGGTGTCACAGCCCGGGGCCCATCGGGGCCGGCCCGCCCTGCCGGTAAGCGAGAGGCGGGCGGAGGCTCGCCTCAGTCCCAGCCTCAGCCTCAGCCTCAGCCCCATCCCCATCCTCATCACCGGGATGGGGCGGGGAGCTGTTGCCCTCGGCTGCGGAGGGATGGACAGGGCTGAGCTGAGCTGGGCACACCGGGAATAAACCCTTCAAGGACCCCCCTTCTCCAGCGGTTTGCTGCTTAAATTAACAACGTGTCCTCGGTCTGTTTTTTAGGTTACGGTGGTTTCTATTCACCCCTCGGTGTTTACTGCACGGTCGGCATCTTCCTCAGGCAAACAAGGCTTTAGGGCTGAAGGTGAAGCAGCCACAACCCGGCCTTTTGTCTACGGTAAACAAAGTTAACGACAGAAGTACTGCCTTGGGCTCTACAGTGTGTCCTTCGGAGGTGGCTGAAGGGCTGCGTGATGGGTTCGTGTACAAAAGAGAGTTGTCAGGAAGGACATGGAATTTGAAGAAAAAACCCCTGCAAAATGATGTTTTTGTTCCGTATCTGATATTTTTCATATTGTCACCCCAGGCTTCCCCAGGCAGGTGGGAAGGCTGTTGGCAGTGGCGGCCGTCACTGTGGTCACGGTGGAATTTGGGGTTTCAGGCGCTGTTAGGTCTGTGCTGTGCTGCTCCGAGGAGAAGGGCAGAGCACGTGGCCCAGACAACACTGAAAATCAGTCTGTAATGCAGGTGGCTCCTGGGACATTGAGAGAAATAGCTGTACCACTAAAAGTATAAAACAAACAAAGAAACCCCCAAACCAACCCCCCACCACCAGCTTTAATTCTGTGGGTACCAACTCCCAGTGATTGATTTATTTGTTTTGTATGAATCTGTGTGTTTTTAATGGGTCTTGAGTTGTGTTCCTAAATGTTTTTGTTCCTTTGTTTCAAATTATTTTTATAGTGTGTCCATGAAAAAGCCCACTCTTATGTGATTTTCAGAGACTTTGCAGTGATGATGTTTTAGTACCACATCATATTGGCAAACTTAGGTTCAGTCCATTAATGCACCAGAAAGATGCAGCATAATCAGTCATAACTAATCCATTATCAGACTTTTCCCCTCATGTTAGGGATGTAATCCAGCTGTCAAACTCACGGTCACTTTGTGTAAACTAATTTTACTGTTAGATCATATTGGTTTTTCCATTTGATAGAGACTTGACTGAGGCTAGCATTGGTGGTCAGGGTGGTTTTAGCCAAGAGCTGTCAGACTGTCAGCTTTTAAAGCACAGTTACTGTTCACAGATGTTCTCCAGGTTCATTAAGCCTCGGTGAATACAGAGACTAAACAGTAGCTTTAATAATTTCCTGTAAGGCTGCTAATTTGCTCTTCTTCTAAAGCTTGCACTGGTATGTCAATCTGTTTGATGTGTCTTTCATGGCCCTTGTGATACCTTTCTGTGTTTAATGTTTCTTTTGATTTTTTTTTCTCTTTGCTTCAGGTTGAAAAGATGGGTAATGCTGAAAGCAATGCCTATCAGAATCACCTTTCCAGATTTCTTCCTGAGGAGCAGTCTGACATTGATGGACTATTCGACACCTTATCAGGATCCAGTGGCGCAGCTGGAGCAAAAAATGCCAAAGCTGCAAAGAAAACTGTGACTCTGGCAGCACTACAGGCAAGGCAGTCTGTTACTCATCATATATCTGGGATGTAGTGCATTGAACAGAATTCCAGAAATAACCTATAAAGATAGGGTATTTTTTAAGGATTGCTCATCTCAATTTAATTTTTTTATATTTTGGGGCAGGATGGATATTTAACTTTTTCTTGCAGTTTAACCAGAGTAGTGACTTTCAGGTTTGCATTTATCTCTTAAATTGCACTTTTGAGTCCATTTTCAGCTTTCCTGATTCTGAAGTAAGTTAGGGTGTATGGAAATATTTTCACAGAGACCTGAAAAATGGGAGGAATATTTTTACCTATGGAGTCTGTAGTGTGGGATCATTTACAGATTGTCTTGAGAAGCTGTCACAAAGTCAATTTTTATTTGGTTATGCCTGTCTCCCTTGACATATCACTGTCTCTAATCTCTTCACTTGTACTAAAAGGAGAGAATTCAATTTGACTTGATTAAGCTGTGGCTCCCTGGTTTAGCTAATTAACATGCATTATGCTTCTGATTAACTTTGCATTCATTTTCTAATCAAGAAGAGAGAAAAATGAGTCATTGGGATCCTTAATAACTTCAGCTAGTCAGGAACTAAGTGGCCAAATGAGTGTGGTGGTGAAGTGCAGTTTGATATATATTACACAGATAATGGAGTCAAATTAAAACTCATTGAAGGCAGCAGGTTATTTTGAGGTGTTCAGCAATGCCTGTGCATACAGACCAGCTTCAGCCTTCCTGCAGCCTGGCTGGCTGTGAGCTGTCATCAATTCTTGGAGCACCAAGTTTGGAAATGATGTTTCTGCTGCCTGGTTTTTCAGCAGCAACATCATTTCCAAACTAGTTCATCCAACGTCCTTGGTGCCTGTTAATTGTTTGGGACCTGGCAGAAGTTCTCTTTGTAGCTTTGCCCCAGATCAGTGTGATCTTTGATGAACATTTGCCTTTTCCCTTCCTGCTTTTTTGTTTGCCAGCTTAAATTAAAATCTTTTGGAAGACTTCCTGTAGGTGCAGGGAGAATGGCAGTGGCATTTCTGCCTTGTAGGTGACAATGCTCATGCCTGGGCTGAGATGTGACAGATTTGATCCAAAACAATCTGGTACCACTGGTGAGGCCCCAAGCCAAGGGCCAGGACAGACTGCCCTGCATAGCTGGGGAAGCAGGTGGAGCAGGAATCTCTTGATAATTTCATGAAGCCTTTTTAAAACAGGGGTTCTGAGCTCTCAGAGGTGTGAGTTAGATGATTATTAAGGATTCCTTTTTTACACACCTCTTTTTTTTTGCACCCCAGGTCCACTCTTTGGAATAGCTAGAAGCAAAATGAAACAGCTCAGTGGAGTGGTGGGATTAGGTAGGGAGTAGGTAGGTAAATCAGCAGCGTGAAGTAAAAAACCCTTGAGTTTAATGTTTTAGTTGTGTTCCCTGCTGCCTCTCCCACTTGAGGCTCATGCAGGATTTTTAGAAAGCCTCTCAAAGACAGCTGTACCCCCTGTGAGCATCCCTCCCTCTCTGTGGAGCACTCTGATGTGAAAAGCTGTGGCTGCTATTTCTGCTGCTGCTGGAATCAATGGGAGTTGTAGCACGGACGTCAGTGCCAGCTGCACAGAGCTCAGGGTGTTGGATCTCTCATGCCCAGCAACAGCCATTCACAGCAAATAGGAGCAGCCCAGGCTTCCCAAGAGTGGTATTGAGCCAGCAATCAGCAATAGCAGCTCCCCTGAGTGGAGCCAGGGATCAGCAATAGCAGCTCCCCTCAGTGGAGCTGCAGTTGGGCTTTTAGGCAGGTGGGGCTCCGCTGATTTCAGCACAGTCCCCACTGAGGTACAGCCCGTGTGGAAGAGTCAAGCCAGGTCTTCAGCACACCTCTGTGCACAGTGAGGGCACTGGGTAATCACCTCCTCCTCCTCTATGCATGTACTCGAGATGATTTATTTTTAAGCTGTGTAATTAACTTGAACACTCTGAAAGTTGAATCCAGAGTCAGATCTTTCCCACAGAGCTGTGATGAGTGATGATATATTCCAGCTAGATTTCAATTCAAAGGCCCAAGCATGCAATCCTGATGAATAAGTGCTGATTTTGACTCTCTTAACACCAGGGATGCTTTTTAAAAATCAGATGAACTGTGCTTCAATTAGTTGCCATGCAGGGGGAAATTTTCCAGGTCTGTTTCTACATGTGTATCTGGGGTTAAACACTGCCTTGATGCCAACACTGAGATATGGAAAACACTCCACTTTGCTTTTAAGTGAGCTGCACTGTCGAAAGCAGAATTAAAACACAATTTTGAATGTTTTGCTGGCAGAGCTGTAAACCTTTGCACCAGAGTTATCACCTAGAAACCCTTTGCTAATATCCTATTAAGACTTTAATGTTGATTTTTCTGAAGCCTGTGGTGTTTCTAGAAAACAGTATCAACCTAATTCTCTACAAAAATCACTATAGAGATTTTTAGTTTTTCTCTTGGCAAAGCAGTTCTTTGACAAAATTTTATTGCTGATACTACATACTGTATGTCAGCATAGATTAACTGGAACACATCAGTTATTCTTCCTTTGTAAAAGGTGCTCTTTGCTGTTTCTGTCACTGCAGGCACACACCCGGGAGCCCCTGCCAGAGGCAATGACTGCTCGGTTGTACAATGGAATGAAAAGCATTGACCTGCCTGGCAAATCAGCCGGGCTCAGTGAACAGATTGCTAAGGAGCAGTTTGTAATTTTTATGTCAAACCTCTTAAAAGGGAATGCAGATGAGAAGATTAGCATAATAATGAGAATGATCGCCAAGACGGGAGGGCCTCTGAAGGGCAAACAAATCCAAGAGGTAAACAAGAGTTAAATGTGTGTTGGGGGGACAGTAAGAGAGCAGGGCTGTGGTTAAGAGCCAGCAAGGGCTGTGGTGTGGCTGGTGCTTCTGGGAACTGAGCAAAATGCTTTCTAGAGCTTTAGTTGCAGGATCAACTATGTAGCTTTTGAGATCTCACAGAACAGTAATTCACTAGCAGCTCCTACACTGCAAAACTTGACCTTCCCCTCCCTTTTTCATTCCCTATTTTATGGAGGTGCTTTGTGAAGTAACATGTATGAAATGTCTTGAAAAAGGATCCTTTTCAAGGCCTGTGACACTGAAATAGCATTTCTGTAGTGCCTGACTTGTCATGGCAAGAGATGATTCTGCCTTTGGGATTACAGCATCACTACTGCTTGAATTTATCTTCAGACAGTCCTTTGAAGCTCTTGGAAATTTCACTTAAGAAATACCAAAATGGTGATGTTTTAATCTTTTAAGTTCACAGAGGATCTGATCACATCTGTAGTCCATGTACTGAGCTACAGGAAGGAGCTGAAAGGTTGGAGTTTGGAGAATACGAGGGATTCTTCAAGTGGAGTCAAAGCTTTGGCCTCTGAGCTGCTCTCGGAATTGAAGCTTCCAGGTAAGCAGCCCTGATTCAGCTTATCCCAGAGCTTGTGTAATCAGTGATCTCATGAGAATTTCTCTCTTTAGGTCACATCTCTGAATTTTAAGGGTGAGACCAAAATTTCAAACCTAGTGCTTAGAAAATGACATTGGAATTTTATTTGTTTAACCTTACCATCTTTCTCCCCTAAGTTCAGCTGAGATTTGATCTGAAGTCCTAGTTTGTCATGGAACATATCTATTTTACAAATACCTGACTTGAAAATTATAGGAATGGACATCTAAGTAATAATTATTTAAATAAAATTTATCATGTATTTTTGGCTATGTCCTTTTATAAAGCATTGGTCTGTCTTTGCACTGTTGTAATGACATATTTTGCTGTCTTGTAAAGAACCCTTCATGAGTTGTAGCTCTGAGTCTGTATTTCTAAATCATGACAGCCCAACCAAAGAATGTCACTGGTAGAGGTTTCTCAGTTCTATGGTTGCATTTGTCTAATGTAGTTGACACTTTACTGTTCCTGGCTCCTTTCATATGTGGTTTTCTGTCCATTACAATAATGGACTATTATGTTTACACTAAAAAATCGCCTGATTATTTTCCAGACAGGGAGACTTACTCCTCTCCCTGTGTGTCTTATTCTTCAGATGGGACAAAACCTGTGGGTTCTCAGCAGCTGGAGGCAAATTTTGACCAAAGTGTCATTGAGGATTGGGTGTACCGAGTTCCCCAGATCTCAGTTTTCCTCAGTGTTGTCATCAGGCAAGGCCTCCACGTCCTGCATTCCCTCCCAGACCAAACCAATGACATCCTCAACCTGGTTCCTCATTGCAAAGGCATCAAAGGAAGAGGAGTTGTCAGTCTCTTTGACATCCCAGCCATCATCTACATCAACTCCCACCTGCCTGCAGAGATGCAGCACAAGTGGCAGCTTTTATTTTCCTCCAGGCTCCATGGGGAAAGCTTCTCACAGCTGTGTGCCCATATAGTGAACAAAGGTCCTTGCATAGTGATCATAAGGGACTTGGATGGTTTCCTCTTTGGTGGGTTTGCATCTCACTCCTGGGAGGTGAAGCCACAGTTTCAAGGTAAAACTCATTTTGCTTTCTTTAGTATCTCTGATAAATTCCCTGGTTTTTGTACAGGCACAAGAATACTGTCCCCTTAATGGATACTGTCCCTTTAATGACACAAAGTGTTTCTTACACTTCCAAATGAATTTCTCTGTGGCAAAAATAACACTAATTTTCAAAGAATATAAAACACATGCAGAGTTAGAATGGCAGTCAGGCGTGTTGCTGATTAATATTTATAGTTTGTTATTTGATAAGGCTTTTAAAATTGCAGGACTTACTGACCACAGAAGAAATTTTCAGGGAAATCTACCAAGCCCTGTAGCTGCTTAGGTTGAAAATCAAATGAAAATGAATGAAGTGGAGCGCAGATGATGAATTAGTGTCTGAATAATTTGACCACAGGATGGCAGTCCTCCATCAGGAACACCTGAGCCTCCTCTTTCCATTTATGCACTGTCTTTGTTCCCCTTGTAAAATCCAGCAGCCAGAGGATTCTTTGGGCAAGCTGAACTTCTTATTCCCCTAAAACTTTGAGGGAGAAGAAAGGGTTTTTGGAGAACTCTTTGAAAAGAATGTTTGTGATGGATTTGTGAAAAAAAAAACCATGGGCTATGGGTATTTGGTGTTGCTGGGAATCCTCACTCTGGCTACATTAGAAACTCAGTTCATGTCCTAAATGAGTATTTGAAAATTCACTTCAGACAGTTGGTGTATTATTTTACACTGATTACACATCCCTTTCCTTGTATTATTTTTTCCTAATAGAGAAACATACAAAGCCTCCAGGGCAAGCACACCACAGGTGCCTCTGAATCCTGAACTGGGCATGGTGAAAATTACTCTAAATCATCAACTCTAAACTGATTTATCTATCAGTGTAGTCAGAACTAGGGATGTCTGCATTGACTCCAGTTTGTACACATCTGTGAGTTGGCCAGTTTTAGGTGATATAATGAGTCTGGGGTAGGTGACATAGTGACATAATGTCCTAGTGGTGCCTCTGACTCTGCCCTTGATCACAGCCTGTAATTGCATTGATTTTTGTGGCTGCACAGAGTTCACTGAGAACAAAAAATAGATCTAAATCTTGATGGGGGATCTACTGGCTTTCTGAGATGGCAGCTGCTGTCTTTGAATTATTCAGCTTAAATTATTTTTTCTAATTTATATGTAGGCAAGTTATTGCTTGACCTCTTGTCTGACCTGAGGTGCTTCTCTGTTTGCAGGTGACAACAGATGCTTTTTGTTTTCTGTTTTCCCCACTCTGGCTGTATACACATACACAGGGTACAATGACCACTACATGTATTTAAACCATGGCCAACAGACTATGCCAAATGGACTTGTAAGTATTCAGAAACGATGATTTGGAAATTGGATTTGTGGCTGGTGTTTGGAAGTGTTTTGTGGTTTTTTTTCATTCTGAGAGCAGATTTATTTCACTTGTTATTCTCTGAGGAAATTTGCATGCCTGTAGCAGCACAAAACAGCAATCTGTGTAACTGAGGATTCTTCCACTGGCTGCTCTCCCTGCCACAGCAACTGCTTTTAGAATTATGGAGGAGAAAGCCCAGCAGGATGAGAGTGCAGACATTGCAAGTAGCTGCTGCTGCTGTGTGATGACAGTGGCAGGAGCTACTCCTACTCAAGTTCACAAATGAGCTCTCCAGATGCAGAGGAGTTTCTACAGAGCTACAGCACACCACCTGTCCTGGAAATAGTTTACAGTTTTGGAGCATTATGTGCCCATAACTTTGGGAATTGGAGCAGGCTGGAATTAATTTGCCCTAGAAAAACTGAACAACATCAAATTACATTATTGGTTTCTGTAGATACTTTCCTGATGGAAAGGAGGCAGCAAACCCGAGCACTGTTTGAAATGGAACTGTTAATAGTCAATAAACAAAAGCCAGGAGATTAATTTCTGGCACAAGTCATAGATATTTGTATTCTGTGAAGCACAGAGGCAGGGCAGTATCACTCAGGTACATTTTCAGTTGTATTCAGGAAGAGTAGATGTGGGTGTCCCCTTTTATCACCTACCCACAGAAGTGTGCCATAAATACTGACCACAGCAGCTTACTCTCAGGTTTCCTGACTTTGCCAGTCTCTTTTCCCTGTGCAGGATGTGTTTAATGTGCTGGTGTTCTCCACAGGGTATGGGTGGACAGCATGGCTACTTTGGGCTCTGGATAGACAGTGACTATGGGAAGGGCCACAGCAAAGCCAAACCTCGCTGCACCACCTACAACAGCCCCCAGCTGTCAGCCAAAGAGGATTTTACACTGGATGCCATGGAAGTTTGGGCAGTGGGAGATGCCCCTGAGAGTGCAGGGGTAGGTGAAATTGTGAATTGAACCTGAGAAAATGTGTTCTGGTTGGAACAGATGTGAATGCAAAGCTCACAGTTGCAGTTGTGTTTCAACACTCTCTCCACTCTAGTGAATAACGTGTTCTTTACCTGGCCCTGTGGTGCATTGTGTTTTGTAGTACCAAATAGCAGAACTGAAGTGGAGTTATTGAGGTTGCCAACAAGAAAGAATATCAGGAGCCATGAGGTGATAGAGTCAGAATAGCAGTACTTTGAGTTTCAAAAGGCCTTTTTGATATTGAGGAATGGACTCTGGAAGGAACCTCCTTGGAGGGGCTTAGTAAAACCCAGAGTTTCTAAAAGCGCTGGAAACTCTCAAGTAAAGTCTAATCTGTAGTTCAAGAAGAGACCCAAAAGCTTTCTTTATCACTAACTTTAAATTTATTATTGCTTTACCATAAACTTCTGTGAATAGATTTATGCCAGTCTTTCTGCACTTGGTTTATTTTTTGGGAATGAGTAGGAGCCCTCTCTCCAGTCTCCTCATCCCTGCAATTTATTCTCTTTATAAACTGTCTGATCTGTACAGTTTGGTGGGGTTTTAAAATTTATTTCTTTTTAATTTTTACTTCTTTTCAAACTAATTCCTGTACTCTGATTCCACTGGACATGTAGCTCTAAGGAGAAACAGAGCAAACTGTTTACAGAAAATACTGAATTGTAACTGGATCTCTTTAAAAACCTCACATCAGCACTTCAGACTGGGGTGGGGTTAACCAGGATGTCCTGGATGGCTTGTAACCTGAATAAACTTGAAATATCTCACTGTCATCTTAGGAAAAGTTTATGGCTATTTTATGTTGCTGCAGCAGTAAAAATAATTTGATGTATTTGTGAAATTTGAAATTGGAAATACATCTTCTCCATTGTGCCAAGCTAGCAGATCGCATCACTTACAGACTTTTGAGGGTGTCTCTTCCCTGTAGCCTGATACTGACCCTTTAAATTGACTGTATTTTATTTTGTTTTGAAGAGAAAAGGTAAGAAGAGTATCCTGGATGTGGATCCTCAGGCTCAGGCCTTGCTGGAAATGGCTGGGAAAAGCCGTCAGAGCGAGGGTCTGCGGGAGCCCATGGAGGAGGATGAAGGTGATGATGATGAGAGCTAAAGGAGCCACAGTAACATGTAAAAACTTCACTTTTATTTGCTTCAAGTGGTGGTGATATTCCTTGGACAAGATACTTTTTCCTTTTTTTTTTTTCTCCCTGAATGTAGCTAATTGTCTTGGACAAAGCATAAGCCTTGTACTTGTGTAATATTTAGGTCTAAAGCACTAATCTGCCTGAAGGGCTTTGTTTGGGAAGGACAGAAAAATTAGCTGGGGACATAATCATTAGGCATGGCTGAGCTCCAGCTGAATATGAATCTGCTTTCATTCCCCATAGATCATGTCTGCACACTGAATTAAAAGCAGCAGAAGTTATTGACAGTATGGCTTTCTGTCCTGGAGAATTGATATGTACATAGTTACATATTTATAAAACCTGTTCAAGGCACTGATTAGAGCTCTTATACCTCAGCTGCACATATTTATTTGCATGCAGTGAAATTAGTCAGCAAAGCTTACAAACTGTAACAATGTCTTACACTGGTGAACATAGAATAGTCCACATGATGCCACATGAAGGATGCTGTAAATTTGCATTGCTTCAGTTAAAGCATTAAATTTCGAGCTTTCTAAGTCAGGTTTTCAGCAGGCAATTCCATGTGAGCTGTAGAATGTTCCACAACAAGTTTTATAGTACTACACTATCCCTAGTGCATCTCACTTCATCTATTTCTGCAGAAACTTGTCTGTTACTTTTTAAACTTAGACCAGAATCATTGGAGCCATATTTATGCTAAAAATACCTCCAGCAGAATTCTCGAGAGAAGGTACATTCTTTAGTAGCCTCATGACACTGGAGTAAAAGATCAGGCTGCAAAAAAGGTTGAGTAAGAAGCAGCCACACTTAATTGAGAATAGGATCTGCAGATACCTTGTGAAAGAAACAAAAATCAGGGTTATGTCTGTGAAATGTTTAAAGAAGCTTGCTGTACACTTTATTTCCACATAATGAATCGTTATTGTGGAAAAGAATCCCCACAATGTGAAGTGCAGTTGTTGGGGGTTGTGCTCTGTTTTGTGACTCTTCACCAGTCAGCACCAGTTTTGTCAGGTCTCTTATACTCAGGATTTTTTCTACTTGAATTGGTTCCCATCACTCAGTAATTATTCGTTTGACCTTGCTAATTCTATGTGTAATTAACTTGTCAAAAATAACCCTGATTTTTACCAGGGGCTGCAGTTTCTAACTCAGCAAGAAGTGTTTGGTTATCAGTGTCTCTGACTGTCAGTCTTCCTCCTCCTGAGGAACAGGACTGTGTCCAATCCCCTTTGTCCTGGCATGAGTTTGTCTTCTTTGCAGCTTAGAGAAAAACAATAGAATTCTATAATTTCTGCTCATGTGGCCTTCCTTGAAATTCTTTCCCTTGGTGTTTTCTTGTATGAGATTTTTTTCCCCCACCTGTTGTTTTTCATAGAGAGCCAGATTGGAATATTCTGAACAATCTGCACTTGTGCCTTAACATAGATCTCATTTGTAAAAATTGTATTAAACAACATGAATTTCATCTTGAAAGGAGAGCATGAACAAATCACTCCAGCCAGGTATCCTAGGACTCAACTGTGTGTTTTGTGGAGTACCTGAACTAATGCTTGGGGCATTTATATGCTGTTTGTTCCAGTACAGAGAGTGCTGTGAAAGGCCTGGGAGAATGTCCTTTTTTCCTGTATTTGCTTAGAGAAACCAAATAGTCTCCCAAGTTTGTAACACACAGAAAAAAATAAGCATCAGAACAATTGCACTGATACTTTTGTATAGTTTCCTTCTCTATATATATTAATAATATTAAGTTTTACAATGTAAGGAGTAATAAGTACATGATGCTGTCTGTAAGTGTGGTGATAGCAGCTTTTGTTTGAGCATTCTCAAACTCCCACCATGAGTCTCAGAGGTCTTTTTCACTTAGCAGTGACTAAGCCTATTGAACACTCCCATGTAGATGGCATACAGGATGAGACAGTTGAATTTCTGCAGTTAAAATAAACAGCTAGACTTTATTTTCCTTCCATTACAAGCTTGTTTTTGAGAACTGAAACCATCTGCAAGGGTATAGAAAAAACCCTGAATTGTACAAAGGTACTCTCCACCAAAAATATTTCAGTGGCCAAGTTTTCTTTGATTTTTAATGAGTATCAATATAGCTGTTTCTTTCTAGTCTATGAATCCAAAATGTAATCCTGTTTAAACTTCATTTTGTGACTATCAGCATAGCATTGTGACCTCTGAAATTGTAGTTTTTTGACAAGTTTGTGTCTGAGACTCTTCCTCTTCACTTTGAAGGTGTTAAGCTGGGGCAAGAAGAAAACTGACACTGGCACTTCAGCAAATGTCTCAGTGAAGTATTATTTACTAGGACACCACTGATCCAACCAGCAGACGGGATTATTCCAAATTGTTCTTTAAATGTAAAAGATGGGCTTGGGAAAGACTCAATTTTTATTTTAACCTGAAACTAATGAGTAAGAAATCTGGGCTCATGCACTTAAAAATGTCCAGAAAGCTTTTGTCAGCAGTGGGCTTAGCTATGATCTGAACAGCTCAGTCTCTTTTGTGCAGTTTTGGCCCAGCTGCAAAGCCCAGCATCCCTGATCTGTTCCTGACTCATCTTTATTCTCAGGCTCTTTGGAAGTGAGTCCCTTTCCCATTAAATCCATCCTCTGCTGAGCACTGGGTCTGATCAGCCTTCCCTTCTTCTCCTGTCAGTCACACGGGTAGCAAAACTGACAGCTGAGGGTTGGCACTTCAGCTCCCTGCTCTGTTTGACAGCTCCCCACAGTTTCCTAGAAAGTCTTGCTGAGTCAAGCCTGAGTATCTGGGAATCCACAAACACTACAGATTGAAGGAAAAGAAATGCTTCAAGGCAGGTCGTTTCCACTCTTCTAGTGAAACATTAAAGGATGTGTCTAAATCACGAGTCTCACTCAGATACTTGTCAGTAACATTTTAAAATGTAGATTTTATTAATAAAAATGATTTTGATTTAAATAAATAAAATTTCAGTTTATGCACAATAGATTTTTCTGTACAGGTGTGAAAGTCTTCTTTTGTCTGGGAGTAGCTCAGCCTTCTGGAATACAGATCAGTGTTATAAAAATATACCTGCTCTTGGTTTAAAAAAGGAGCCACTCTGGAGGTTTCTGCAGACAGCTCACATGGAGTGGGTAGAAGAGTCTCTGGTGTAAAGACTGTTGGTACAGCTGCACTTGAGTACCTTCAGGAAGGATGTGTGGGTCACAAAGCATGGATTTGGATTATCACAGCTCTGTTCCAGGTGTATTTTAGAGCAGTCTCAGTCAGTTGTGACGTCCCTGGGTGTGCTTTGGGGGGCAGCAGCGCTTTTCACAGAGTTTGACGAGCTCGGACACCACGAACACTGAGGAAGCCAGGCCGGTGAGGAACAGCAGGTCTGGGAGAGGAGAGAGTGGAGGTGAGCTCAGCTGGGCAGGAATCCCAGCCCAGGGCCTTCCTGCAGCTGGGAGTTGGGCTGGTGAGCCCTTGGGTACGTGTGCCCTCGCTGTGCCCTTGCCAGCTGAGAGTTAGGGACACCACTGCAGCAGACACGGGCCAGCCACAGCTGGGATGGTCCCCTTGGAGGGTGGAAACAGGAATCATTTGGGATCCCTGCCCCCTGCTTATGACACAGCCTAATGTAGATGGAAAATGGTGTGGTAGGGTGCAATTTGCTGATTTAAATGAAAATCCGTGCTCCATTTCAGCTGGGAAAGTGAAGTTTAACTCAGCTCTTTCCAAAGGGAGTGTTGCATAGCGATCTGAGAAATATCATCACACAGAGCTGGAAAATCTTGGCATGTCTCCATTTACGTGCAGTAAATCAAAATTCATAATGTAAGCTGGGATAATATGAAATACTTGTACTATTGGGGTACAGCTCTGTGTAAATACACAGAGATTGGAGCTGTTGGTTGATTTCCTCTACCAGTGATGTGTGGGGAGCCAGCAGCAAACCGGGAATGGCATCAGCTTTCTAAAGTCACTTTAAGGAAAAGAAAACAAAACAAACCATTATTTATTCTGCAGCTTACCTAACACTCCTAAATTCTCTGTCTGGAAGATCTTTTGTAGTGGAGGGATGTAGATAACTGCCAGCTGTCCCAAAAATGACCCAAGCACGGAATACAAGAACATGCGGTTTCGGAAAAAGCCGATTTCAAATATCAACTTTGTCTAGAAAAGGGAAAAAAAAATTAAAAAGTAGCTTTTCCCAATCTCTGTTGGAGCTAAATGACACCCTGTTCCTTTACATTTCATCTCCATTGCTTTTTAAGTTACATAAACGCTAACTTAGAGCTACATAATTGAATGTGTAGTTGCACTTGTGATGGATAATTTCATCTGTATAAAAAGTTGATAAAAATCATACTACTTTAAATAACATTAAAAATTCCTTACTATGCAAAATGCTGGTGTTCTGATGTTTATGTTTGTGATTTGAGACAAGAAATTACTGCTGACAGAGCCATCTCACCTGAGAGCGACATGTCAGGGCGTTGAAGAGGTCAAAAAACACAAAACAGGTGAAAGTCATTGTTGTGGTTCGAGGAGTTATGCCCCCTTTTGGATTCTGGAAGCACACAAAAATTCAGGGGTTAGTTTAACCTTATAAAAATATACCAATTCAATAGAAGAATTAAATGTTCCCTTTAATGTGCTCAGTCAAATCAAACGGTAATAAAACAAAGGAGTAAATCTAGTTCTAGCTATTAGAGGTAGCATTCAGTTCTCTGCTAATTTTAAAGTTTATGACCTTATCAACTGTATTCTAAATTCTTAAACTGATGTGGACTTTGAGTGAAGAACATCCTAAATTAAATTACTGAAGCTTCAAGTACCAACAGCAATCCGTTGTACTTTTCTGCTGGGAAAATGGAAAGCTAGAGGTGAAAAGTCCCTTAAAGTATTGATGCCACATCATGTAATAGGTTTTCCGTTCTGGATGGGAAGGACCAAATTAGAGGTCAAAACAGAGGGAGGCAGGAGCAGAGCTGGGAGCTGACCCTGCTTTCTCAGCCCTCTGCTCACACTGATCCTTCTCCATGGGATGGATTCCTCACGTCCTTCAGAAAAACTGCCCTCACTTTGTGCTCCACCCACCCTGATGGAAACAAGATCCGAGTGCAGATTTCCCTCACCTCCTTCCAGAAGACAAAGAGGGTTCCACTGATGATGATGATTGCTGACATGAAGATTTTCAGGATCAGGGATTTGCTGAGGATGGTGTCTGTGATGCACCGGGGGGGCTGCTTGATGGTGTCCCTGTCAACAGGTTCGACCCCCAAGCTGCCTCCAAGAGAAGCAGAGGGATGTGTTAATTAATGCAGGGTGTCCCAAAGTGTTTATCCTGAGAAACCGGGATGGAGATGGAGGATGCAATTCTTTGGGACGCAGCATGAATATTCAAGCGAGGTGACATAAGGCCCAAATTTGTCCATGACACTGATAGCAAAGGTCTTTTCTGCATATTGAGCTGCTAAAATAACATTAGATCATCAGAACACCCCAGAGTGAGAGCTAACTGTGAGAGTGTGCATAATGAGGAAGCTGTAATGATATTTAGCTGTAGTTGTAATTAGCAGTTGGATGAGGTTCCTAAGTCTTGTGATTTTGGGGCATATCCCCACTATTCCATGGTGGTATTTTCAGGATAACAGGCCATTCCTAGGCAAAAAAATGGAATAGTTAAGTGACTCCACCATAAACCAGGAAAATACATAAAACATCAAGTAAATGTGAAGTGCTTTTTAAAAGACCAGGAGGGAACAGAAGTGCAGCTTGTTGAACCACTGATGATGATTCATGAGGAATCACAACAGTTTGTGTTCCTAGGCCAAATTCAGACTTATTAAACCCAAGATTATTTTGCTCATTGGACTCTTCCATACCTCTGTGCTGGTGGCCCATCCATGATGATGTTGATCCATAAGATCTGCATGGCATTGAGTGGGTTGGGTAGGTTGAGAACTGTTGACAGGGTAATAAGGCTCAAAGCTGAAATACTCCTGCAAAGCACAGAACATTATTCTGCAGGGCCTCACCCTGTAGGTGCTTTCACAGGAGCTGAAGCAAACAGGAACTTACGTGCTCAGTTGGAACCGGACAAAATTTTTTATGTTGTAAAATATTCCCTTTCCCTCTTCTATTGCATTCCTGGAAGGGAGAGGGCATTTTATTAAGTAAAGAGCACTCACACTGTTTTACATTGAGCTCCCTGTGATACTCAAAACACAATTGTCTTTTGTAGCCCTTATTTCAGTGGAAGTTCAGAGCCCAACTCAGGAGGAGGTTGTCAATAAAGCTTCTCACTTACAATTCCTTTGTCAATGTGTAGGTCTGAAAGCCTGGGTCACATGGCCAGGTTTTGGTTCATAAAGCAGGCCTGGGACCTATTTATATACTCACTGTACCCTGCCCACTCTCTCTGTTGTTATGAACCAACAGAGCATTGCAAATTACATTTTTCCTCTGAGCTTCCTGGATGAGGCAGAGCATGAGGTAGAATCATAAAGGTTGAACAACACCTCCAGGATCACCAAGTCCAAAGTATGACCAAAAAAGCTCTGATCTACCCGGATTTCTAGGTGCTCTCAGATCCCCAGTTAGCCACAGCAGTGAGGAGCCAGGGCTTTCAGGTGAAAGGTGGCTTGGTCAGCACCACTTGGAAGGAAAGTCATGTGTGCAACTAAAGGCGAGAGCCACCCTGGGGCTCCCCACTTCCATTCCCAACCCTCCTCACACTACAAGCTTGCTGCAGTGGACAGCCAGAAAAGAGCTGCAGAGTAAGAGAATCTCCAAACCTACATGACTTTGGAGAAGTCATCGTCCACGAGGATCATGTTGGCAGCCTCTTTGCTGACGTCTGTCCCCGCGCGTCCCATGGCGATCCCGATGTCCGCGGATTTCAGGGCCACGGCGTCGTTGACACCGTCCCCTGTCATTGACACCACGGCACCAGCCCTCTGCAAGGCCTGCGGGAGGGCACAGCTCAGAGGCTCCCAAGCCAGAACATGAACAAGCCATGCTGGCAATTTCAGAGTCTGGACTGTTTGCTTTGCTCTTTCTGTACTGAAAGATCAGAAGCTCTGTTGGACTCTGAGGGTGAAATGGACTCGGCACCACACAGAGCACAAAGCTCAGACCAAGAATTAGGTTTTTCAGGAGTATAGGGAATGTCACAACTCCAGCAGAAGTTAGAAGAGGGGAGTAAAACCCTCAGAAATCATTCTCCTGATGTTGTAGCCGCTAATACCTCACTAGTTTTTTTTGTATGCCTGGGCCCAGACTTGCAAGAAAAATAAAATCATAGAATATCCTGAGTTGGAAAGAACGCACAAGGATCATCAGGTCCAATTCCACAGCTAATGCCTTCAGAGAAACCCCAGCTCTAGCTGGGGTTTTACAGTCCTTTAGTTTGAGCTGATGCTGCTGGGGAAGACCAGACCATCCAGAGAACTGAGGCTCCCTCCCCCTTGTTTTTGCGAGGTGTACAATGAATTTCACAGGCGCTTAGTACCTTTATTATTTTTAGTTTGTGCTTTGGACTTGTTCTGAAGAAAATGGAAACCTGAAAAACAACAGAAAAGACAAAATATAATCTCATATTAGATGGAAGCTATTGGAAATAGCCTTTTTTTTATGTAATCAAAGCCATTACATTTTGGACAGTGGAGGAGAGCTCTGCCTCTGCCAGTTGGTCCAGCTCTTCCCCAGACATGGCTTTCAGCTTCCCATTGCAGAGACCAATATTCTGTCCTGCAAGGAAAAGAGATACTCACACTCTAAATATTAGTGGATTCCGTAATCCTAGCAATGCTATCTGTGTCTTTTAAGAGGCTTACAGTGAGATTTTGCCATTTCTGGTGCTAAAATAGTGGAATTAATTTACAGGAATTTGGCCCAGAGTTCGTAGCTGCTCTATACTCCATTTAATGCTTGTTTCAATGGAAAAGCAAAAACTCAATGACCTTTAAAGCCTCTACTGCACACACAGAAACGATG